TAGATAGATAGATAGATAGATAGATAGATAGATAGATAGATAGATAGATAGATAGATAGATAGATAGATAGATAGATAGATAGATAGTTTATTTGACTGTAAGTTACAACTAGGTTTACAGCAAGTCAAAACTAAAATTATAATTATTAAATATTACAAAAAAATGGAAACAATACATTAAAAATATTTAAAACATTAAAATACTTTAAAAACGTATAATATAGACATATAATTAAAATAATAATAAATTTGGTTATGTTGCAGCTTAGGCATTCACAGATACACCCTCGTAATATTCACCTAATCTATAAGGACACATGGTCACTAGGTACTCTTTGACTTGGTTTTTAAAAGCTGTAGTTGAATTGTTTTTAAATTTTTGAGGAAGTTGATTATACAGTAGTAAACATCAGGTAGTAGATGAATTCCTCCTTATTTCTAAATGTCGATAGGGTACTACAAGCTGTCTCTCATTTCTTGTGTTGTGTGATTAGAATAGAACTGTAATTTATCATGAAAGGCATTATATTTACTCTCAACATCAGTTGCATGATAAACATCTTGCCATATTTCTTTACTCAAGAGATTGTTGAATGCATCTATAGCGCCTTCATGTTTTACTCTGAAACTCTTTCGAATTGATGTCATATAGTTAGATTAATAAAATTCAACCTCAAAAGGAATACATCGTGATCCGATTCAGTATTTACATTTACAGTACCTACACAATCATCACAATTTGTATATACCTGATCTAAAATATTTCTGCATGTGGAAGTCGACCTTGTAGGTGTAAAGTTCCTGGGTGACAAACCATAAGATGCTAGAAGACCAGAAAATCTGTGTGAATTATTTAGTGTCATAGAATTTTACATTAAAATCGCCTGTTAAAAATATGAATTGATTTGGTTCATGAAAATACATCAAATGGTGATTTGGTGATCTGTAGCAAACTAAAATTGTGTGTTGATTTGAATTATAGTGCCACTTCAGCCCACATACCTCAATGTCTTTTTTGATACAGTACTGATCGAGTAAAATGGAATTAACCTTCATATCATCCCTTGCCCAAATTGCAACGCCACCACATTTATATTGGGATCTACTAAAAGAATTTACAATTTTAAAATTTGGAAAACTATAATGAATCACCTCGTCATTTGCTGACCACGTCTCAGTCATACAAAGAAATTTTAAATCAGGCTCCTTATAATCAGCAAATAAACAATCCATTTTAAATTGATTTAGTCCCTGAATATTTGACAGTAGGTGACGACAAGCTGTTTCAAAGGCTCTTTTCAATGTCGAAGAATATTCCAATATATTTTTGATTAAGGGAGAAGGCTTCATGTACACTGCTTTCTAGGTCTATAATATTCTCTAGAGTTGATCTATTTTGTCGGAAACCCCTTTGTTCTGGAATAATAATATTTCGATCTCCTCGAAGTGTCCAGAGGAGACGACGGTTGACCGTTGATTTTTTCTAACAGTTTGAATGCAGTACATGTTAGTGCAATTGGTCTAGACTCAGGATCTGTTTTGGGACATTTGGGTTTTAATATTGGTATTATAATAGAATCTCTCCGCGCTGTTGGAAATTTCTATTCTGTCCAAACAATATTAAATATGTTAAGAAAATGATTCTCATTCTTAATTAAATGCTTAAGAAAAACCATTGGGATATTATCTGGGCCCTCACTAGTCTCTTTAAATGAGTTTAATGCATCTTTGTATTCATTTATATTAAATTTGGAGTTTAAAGCATCTGTGTCATCTACAAACGGTATAATTACATTGCATTCTTCGTTCTGTTTAAAGTTGATAAAATTATTATTATAATTGCTTGTATTAGGTCATCTGTGATTATTGTGATATCTTTCTTTAGTTGAGTGATTTTGTTATAAGCCGGTATTCCAGATATTTTTTTGACATTATTCCACATTTCAGACATAGGGGTCCTACTGTTTATACTGGACACAAATTGAGCCCACGAATTTCTTTTGAAGTTTTTATTGTTAACTGAGCTTTACTTAGGTTTTTGAAATTTTATTTTATTGTTAAGTGTTTTATGTCTTTTGTATTTGTTAAAGGCATTTTTGGAAGCTTTGATCGATGTCTTACATTGTTCATTCCACCAAGGAACTGGTTTATGTTTTGTAGCAAGTGCAGTTTTCTTAATGGTTACCTCGGCTACATCTAAGATGATGCTGAAGAACGTTTCGATGTCTGTGTCAATATTGTTGGATATTTTACAGTTCGTGGTTTTGTTTTTCTATGATATCTTCAAATAATATCCAATTTGCTCTCTTCGTTTTCCACTTAGAGGTGTGCTTTCCACTTTTGGGCTTGAACAAGTTGTTGGTTATTATTATTGGGTAATGATCACTATTATAAGTGTAATCTAATCTGTCCCATTTCATTAATGCAGAGAAGTTATTATCCGCTATCGTTAAGTCCAAGGGCGTTGATTCGCCTGTTTGTATATTGAATCTTGTAGGGCGTCCATCAAGTTATACTGATCTATTAATTCTTCAATACTAAGTCCTCTTTTGTCATCATATGTAGAACCTCAAATACTGTTGTAAGCATTAAAATCACCTGTTAAATACGCGGAGAAGGCATTTAGCTCACGAGTTTAAAAAGGTTCTGTTTATCAATTAGTTGTCCTGGGGGTAAGTAAATCGTGCAAATATTTATTTTTGCGGTCCCTTCTAGAGAAATAGCGACAGCTTCTAAATGTGTTTGTAGGGGTAACCTACTTGCGGTTAATTGGTTATTTACAAGAACTGCCACTCCACCGCTTGCTATTCTTTTTTTTACTCTATTTTTTTTTAAAACTTTGATAATTATGTAAACGAGATTCTTGGTTGCTCTTTAAGATTCGTTTCTTGAAGACAAATAATATCTGATAGATACTCTGATTGTAGAATTTTTAACATCGGTAAGTTATTATAGTATCCGTTTATATTCCACTGAATAATTGAATTAAACGACGCTATTTTTACTTTCTAGTTGTAAAAAAGTTTTAATTTTATTAAGACTCTGGGTCTGTGTCAAGTAAAAGGTAATTTTCGTTGTCGGTAGAAGAGTTCGTCATTTAGGTGTTTTGTGATTTTTTTTCTAAGTTTGGTACATTTGATTTTAAGAGATGTCTCTGATATGTGAGCATACAAGTTACTAATCATTCCTAGTAATCCAGTAAAATCATGTGTATAATTAGTTATAGTGCTGACAATATTTGGAGAACCTGGTGCGTTTGCTAACAGATCTATAAATTGGTCAAGATTAAGTATATATGGCGGTGAATGTTCATTTATTATTGTTTTTAGGTCAGTATCAGAACTTTTCTTGTTGTTGGGTTTGTGTGAAGGTTTCCTAAAATTTATTTCTGTTTGTTTGTCTTTTTCTGACAGAGCTGGTGTATATGTTGGTGAAGGTGATAGAATTTCATCTACGTCACGTTTACGGCGTGTATGTTTAGTAATATCTAGTGATATAGCGCCGTTATTTCCTGGAGGTGTAATGGTATTTGGAACTGTTGATAAAAACTTGTCTTCTAAAACTGTAAACATGAATGAATTCCGGTAAGGTAGAGCTAATACGAAGAAAGGTCGTTCAGAAAGAAAGAGTCACAACCTCTCTCTTGATACAAAAGTAAAAATGCTGCGATACTACGTCTTCTCTGTCCTTTTTTATGGGGTTGAATCGTGGACCTTGAACGATAATATGTGCAGAAAACTGAAAGCATTTGAGATGTGGCTATATCGGAGAATACTTAAGATCTCGTGGACTGACCGAGTCACAAATAGAGAACCAGATAGATAATGTATTACTGGAGAGGAAACACATAAATACGTATAAAAACTTGGAAGTTGAGGATGACAGCTACCAAGGGCAGATCCAGAGAGGTAGCCATTTCCCCCGAGTATTTAAAACAATACAGATTTCAATATTTTTAGTTTCAAACACATATTCCGCTTGCCACGAGAATTTTTTTTTTAGTTTTGAGGGTAGTAGAGGTTGTGCTGAACGAGGTAAAGTGTGAGATAACCTAGGAAGTGTGTATAACACAACCGCGCTCTGTTGAAGAAAGCAACAGAGCATCTGCATTTGCCATCCCCCTTGCATCTGTGATGATGGCCTTCTGCTTCTGAACGGAGATGCTTTACCTAGCAATGAGGGGAATTTCAGAGAATTTATAAGGTTTAAAATCACATCAAGAGATGAGACACTTAAACAACACCTCCACAGCATCTTCCCAATCAATCCAATTCAGATCTGTCATTTTACATAAAATTGAAACACTAACATCTATATCAACATGGAAGGATTTCAAGACTGCTACACTTACATCAACTTTGCTTAATTATGTATGCACATCTGAGTTTCTAGTTCCAATGATGTCACTGATTGATATACCAAAATTAACATTGCCACTAAGCCGTCTTCTACAAACAAAATCTCTTCATTCTCTAGAAAAAAGGCTGTTTCCAATACCATGTCGACTTTCAAAGAGCTAACTGGCAAGAAAGTTTTAGTAAGATTGCTTTCTTTGTCATTGTTTTGGTCAGTATTAATTTCTAACATTTTTTTGTCGAGGTAGTCGAATAATAAATTTATTTACCCGCAGAATAATCTCTGTCCTTCCCGCAGCAAAAATCGCTATCCCGGAACAAAATGTTGGAAAAAGTGACGTCCCGCGTGAATCCCTAAACTAAACTACATTTTTTTTCTTTGCACTTTTTGGACTTCATGGGTTTTAGGTTAAAATTTGCTGATTTTTCGTTGCTAGACAAATAAAAATACTTTAATATTGATTAGTTTTGAATGTCTTTACGGCACTCAAAAGTGTGTAAAAAGTGCCTGAAAACTCACCATTTAACAATAATTTTTTTTTAATTTTCCCCCAGGGCTCCAAAAAAAAGTTCATGCCACCCCCCGAAAATCGGTCCTGGATCCGCCCTTGTACAACAATACCAAGAAATAAAAGATGCTTATTTAGTTTAAAACGTTTATTTATTTTCGTTACAACATTCATAAAAGAAAATACAAAAATATTGAATAATATCCTTAATTTGAAAACTTAAACAATTGCTTCCACTGATCCAATAAGTTCTATTCACATCAAATTGAGATCATATTATGGATTTGTACATTTTGGTTAACATAAACTAAACTTTGTATGTTTCCATGGACATAAAGTCAACCACAAAACACAACTTACACAATCTTCATGGTAGCAAAATATTTATTTTTGGAAAAGTCAAATTCGGGGGGTTTCGTGGAATCCTTTTTGTGTCCACCGGCTAATAATTTTAAAACAATAAAATTAGTTTTACATATTGTCAATAGATCTGTGAGTTCGCTGTCAGGAACTATGCTCTCCAGCAACTGCCGAGCTTGGTGGAAATGTTTACACCCTGCTATATATAAAAAGACACTGTCAACTGGTTGCTGCTGAAATCTCTCAAATGAAGTCATTTCCCTAAATTCAGAATATACTACAGGAGGCGGAGTTAGAAGGTTTTGAAATGGCGCAAATCTGTGCTCGTATCTTACTTGTTCGCTGTCGAAACGTGGGTTAGGGATAGTTAACTTCCCTTCAAGTCGGAAACCCATCAAAGCCTGCAACAGAAATCAAAGACATATTTACTCTAATCCACAAATAAACAGAATGTTCACGATAAAGATAAAAGTAAATACAAAGGGGAAAATAATGAGAAATATGTAGGAAAAAAAGTAAAAATTATTACATATTGTGTTTATATGGGATTAAGCCACAATTGATTCGAATTAAAATTACATTTTATAATTGTTATTTGACGTTTCGAGCTCTACTCCAGAAATCGTTTTCAAAAAAGAACATTTTAAAATAGTGAACTGTATATAATTATTTATTTATATATTTAAGAATGTTATCGTAGTATTTATATATTACAAATAGATTTGTTGGCAGTTCCAAACACATAAGTTGAATTTATATACACACATCAAAATAATCTAGGTGACAGCTGTATTGACAACGTTCGCTGCCCACCTAATATGTCTCCGTGAGCCAACCATTCCTTTTTAAGTGCGCCTATGAGCCACCATATAACAAATGTGTTGGTCCCATCGGGACAACGCGGCCCAGTGAACCGTACTCATGCTTCTGTGCGCCGTTGGTCCATCGAAGAAAAACATAACTTAACATAAATAAACGAATGCGCATTGTATATTGTTCTTGTTGATTGTTTTTTCATTTCAATAAATTTAAAGAATAAATTGCTGTACGTATTAAATAATGTTTAAAATACAATATTTTTTACAACATATTGTGTAATTTTAGATGTCTCAAACGTTCTAAACCTCTGACAGAGCGTGAATTGCAAAACATTGCAATAATGGATGAATTATTCAAACCTTCTGATAGTAAGTACCTGTGTAGTTCACAAATAATCAAATTCGTCATGGTGATGGAGTGACCATTACGAACTGGAAAGACAAAAGAAATATTTACATGCTTTCTACTAAACACAGCAATGAAATGGTCGAAGTATCTTGTAATCGACAAACTAAACTGAAACCCAAGGTGGTAATAGATTACAATAACGGCAAAGCAGCAGTAGAACATATCTGACCAAATGGAGCGTATTCCAACTCTCTTAGGAAAAGCGTAAAACGGTTTAAAAAAGTGGAGTTTGAATTATGATTAACTACACTCAGTTCTTTTTTAATATATAAGCTTGTAACAAAAAACAACATATCGGTGACAGATTTGAAAAAACAAAAGGTGAAACATCTAGTTACTTATAATGAAACCACCACAGTACCATAAAGAGTGTCAAATAATCACCATCAGCTTGAACAGAAGGCAGACGGAAGTAAACATCAACGAAGGAAGATTTGCAAGAACTGCTAAAAAAAAAAAATAGTGAGCAACACGGCCGTCAGTATGCTAAGAAACAAAACTAAAAAGGTAGACATCTTTTGCAAAAGCTGTGACAGTGAACCTTTTCTGTCTATAGGTTGTTTTTAATGAATTACATAGACCTTAAAGAACTTTTTTATTGGTTGTTTTACATTATTTGATTTTTCTGTTGTTGAAAAACACGTTTGTATATACTTTGTTGGGAATTGAGGGTCAACAAATTAGTTCTTTATTTTTTATTTGTTACCATTTTTTAACTTCTCTTGAAGTTCTCTTTGAATTTTCTAGAGAGCTGTTGCGATAATTCTAAGAAAATGTTTATTTCTTGTAGGCATTTTTGGATTGATTATGGTGTTTTGTTTTTCCTCTCTTCAATCTTATTAATTTAAATATCTGCTGGTATGGGTTGGTTTTTTTGTAAACTTTGGTTGGACCCATTACAATCAAATATGGCTTAATCCCATATAAAATAATATTTAACTTGGACATGCTACAAGAAAACAGTTACAGAACCATTAAAGAAAAATCTCTAACGAAGGGTTTTTCAAAGAAAAAAACGGGGCAGAAAAGAAATGTGATACTAAAATTACCTTATAATAACCCCCGCACATGTTTTGCAAGCTTGGAGATATACAATATCTCTGTTATACTGCCTAGATTTTTTCTTATTCCTCGGCTTCTTTTTGGTAGCTCCTTTGCCTTTGTGAACATCATGCAGAATCTCATTTTCCAATAAAAAGCTATCGGCTCTAGATAAAGCTGAGATTAGCCAGCCATACAAAAATTCATACAAATACCTGGAAAAGTATACCTTAAATATATATTTAACGACTTAAATATGCGAGAAGTACAATAAGTTTGTTACCTTTTTAGTAAATAATATATAGATCTTTCGTCATTTATTTATGAATTGATTCCTAAGTTAGATGTTAGGCTAGGTTAAATTACAGACAGATAAATGCTTCCGCCCGTAATACTGAAATAATGGCATCTCCTATGGTAAACATTCCAGAAGTAAAAACACCTTTTTGTTGGGATCTCTAGGTGCAGGGTACTTCAGGTTGTTACAGGTTAGTAAAATCAGGATGTGGTCTTGGGAAGTCTAAAAGGTAAGAGTGTGGAGTTACTAACTATTATATAGTGTACTATATAGTAATATAACTATTCTCCAGAGGCTAAGAAAAGACAAAGAAATTATTAACACCATAAAAAAACAGAAAATTGGGTTACTTCGGCCACATCATGCGTAATGATAAATACCGACTATTACAGTTGATTCTACAGGGCAAGATTGAGGGTAAGAGAGGACGTAGATGTATATCCTGGCTGGTCAATCTTAGGAAATCTTCTTCTTAGAGTGTCGTCTCCCTACGGAGGTTGGCAATCATAATGGCTATTTTTATTTTAGAACTTGCTGCTCTAAACAAATCAATCTATCTGCATTGATACCAATCACATAGATTCTTTAACCATAAGTTCTGCCTTCGGCCAACAGATCTTCTTCCTTGAATCTTTCCCTGTATTATGAGTCTTAAAATTTTATATTGTGCTAACCTCATCACGTGGCCTAGGTATTCCAGTTGTCTGGTTTGTATGGTGGTAATTAGTTCTGTTTCTTTACCAACCCTCTCCAATACTTCTTTATTTGTGAATTGTATTAGTCCATGATATTTTTAATACTCTGCGGTATAACCAAAGTTCGAAAGCCTCGATTCTCTTTAAATTGCATTATTTTAATGTCCAAGTCTCAGCTCCATATAATAATATTGAAAATATATAACAGCGAATGGTACGTAGTCTGATCTCCAAATTTAGATTTTTGCACGTAGGAGTGGCTTCATTCGTATAAAATGCTGATCTGGCAATCTCTATTCGTCTGTTTTATTTCTGCAGTATGATCATTGGTTTCATTGATCAAAGTTCCCAAGTACTGATATTTTTCTACTTGTTCTTTTTCAAGGACAGGTTTTCTTTCTTGGTTTCAAAAGAAAAAAATCTTTTGATCTCGAGGATATCGGTCAAAGGAGAAATAATACAAGGAAATCACAGTAGCATTCCTATATTTGAAACGTTTTCGCTTGTGGAGTTCACAAGCTTCATCAGTTCAATGAATGGTAAGTGAAGTATAAAAATGTGTTAAAACAAACACACCATTTCCCTTGGTAACTTGTAGTCAATACATTAAAATGTTGTTAAAATCGTAGCTTGAATGTTTCTGTGTAGTATACACAAATGCTACTTGATAAACTTAAATTGACCGCCCAATTATTTGGGTTGGTACCTACACCTTGTTGATCTGTCAAAAGTATTTTTGACCTCAAGGTTGGCTGTCTTTTCGCGATTTAGTTTCGTTCCTGTTCATCTAACGCCATTTTCCCGCGACACTTGTGGGGCTTTGATCGGTAACTTCATTTACACTACTTTTATAATTTTATTAATATCACTTATAATGCTACCTAAAGTTAAAATCAAAGCTTAATATTCATAAAATAGTTGGAAGTTATTCATGATTTTCTTGGTTCTTTCTCACTAATTAACATTAAATAACATTTAAATTTACTTTAGACCACATGTGTCATTTGCTGTGCTAATTTTAATAAGTTCATATATGTTGTTAGTTACTTAATTGTTTATAACAAAATCAGCGTATTTATTCCATTTACTTAGTTTCATTCACATTATTGTTAATAACATTGACTGCTACATGTCTTTTTAAGGTAACAATTAACATCGTTTCCATGATTGTGTGGTTCTCATATTGTACTTTTTTAGATGAACTGATGATGCTTTCAAAACTCGAAAGCGAAACGTCTTCAAAATAGATAAAGTAGCCTATCAACTTTGTCTTTTATTCTCCACCTAGAGACCGATATAAGAACCCACCACTCGTCTGAGTGATCCTTATATATATTGGATTGACGGTCGTACTCCTTTCTCCGATATATATATATAATATAATTATATATATATATCTATATATATATAATATATATATATATATATATATATATATATATATTCCGCAAACACACATCTGGCCAGCGTGGGGAGTAAGGCAGAAACAAAACCAAAGCCTTTAAGGTAGCAGTTTTGGCGATCGGGAATCAGAGGAAATCAAGAATTTCCGGGCGAGCCATGATAAACACACAAATCACGAATTTACAGGCGAACCTTCAGAACAGTAACAGAATAAAACTTTCAATAGAACCTAATTTTGCAGTATGACCGGTGTAAAACAGGTATAGAAAGGAATAGAAATATTGGGAGCGCAAACCATTTTGCAAAATGAAGAGGGACTAAGAAACGGAAATATTTAAAACTTAATTGGCAGAAAAAATACATTAAATTTGAAAGAGAGCGAAATGTCGTGTTTACTAAGACATATTGTGAGGCAATGTACTACAACTTAATGATAGTTTTTAATAACAGTACAGATATTTTCTTATTTAATCCCCAATTTATCTTTATATTTATATTTAAAATATAAATGGAACATACCAATAAATATAGTAAAACTCATGCACACTATAAAGTTCCAACTCAAATCCAGCTAACAGATACATAATCATGATTCTTAAAGTGTGGTATAAAATCCAGGTTCCAAAGCAGGCTATATGTGGTCTAGAGATTGGAGAATTTACGGAAAGGGTGTGCAAGTATGCGTCAACTCGTTCTGCCTGAAAAAAATGTATGGTCAATATATGTATGTATATATGTATATAAAAAAAAGTAATGGTCAGTAGGGTGTCCCGAAAAATCCGTTTTTGTTTTTGTTTAATACAAGACCTCTTGAAATTGGGGTAATAGCTCGTAAATTATCACAATAAATTAAAAAAATATATAAAAATATATCAGTGAGAGTTCTAACCGAGACTTTAAAGTTTTTAAAAAATTGTCATTTTTATGGTAATATATCACTATACTTTAATTAGCCTCCCTGAACTAAATATAAAACATTATTTAAATGCAATACCTCTTAAAATTTATGTAATTGCCAATAGATTATCACAGTATTTTAAAAATATAATTACTGCATTTTGTCCAATTCTCCTGGGTATTACTTTTTCCCTTCCATATTAGGTTATATATGTATAAACAATTTTTCTTTATGTTTTTACTCCTATATATTTTATCATTTCTTTTTTCAATTTTTTACTTTCTTATTGCTTCTTCCAGTTCTTTTCTATATTTTCTGGATTTTCTGTGTTTCTTATTGGATACTCTCTTGATGTGGCTTTCCTTCTCCATTGTATTCGCTTGATTTCCATTCAATATCAGCTGGAAAATGTTCCTCCATCTTTCCATTATTGTCTTATCGTCGTTATTATTGTTCCTTTCTTGTTCATTATTTGTTTCAGATTCTTTCTTGTGTTGCTCTCTTAGGTTTTTCAGTGTTCTATAAAATAATTTTACGTTTTCTGTGCTGTTTTTCTCCATTTTTTCTCCGAATTTTTCCCAACTTTTCTTTTTCTCTTCCTTAACTAGTCTTTAACTTTTGTTCTTTGTCTCTTATAATTTTTTATATTTGGTGTGTGTTTGTCTTGTATGTATTATTTCCATAATTCTTCGTTTCTTTTATTTCTCTCTCTTCACTTCATCGCTCCCACCAAGATGTACGTTTCCCTCTGTTGTTAGTTCTTGTAGTTCCAATATTGATTAGCTGTTTTTTATCATAGCATTTTTAAAATTTCCCCATTTCTTCCTATTGTTTCTGTTATTTCATGTTTATTGTCCATCTCTTTCTCTAGCTCTTCTGAGTATCTTATTTTCGTTGTTCTTTCCTTAGTTTATAAATTTTAATTATTTCTTTGTATTTTTCTGTTTATGTTCTCATTTCTTTTCTTTGCTTTTGAATGTGTTTTCTAGTAGATAATGGTCACTACCAATTTCATAACTCCTTTTCATCCTTACGTTCTTCTCTGTTTTTTGTACTATATTATTTATAGTCTATAGTTGATTGTTCGTCTCTTGATTTGGACTTCTCTTATGATCTTGTGTATCCTTTTATGTTGGAAGTGTGTGTTCATAATCACCAGGTTATGGCTAGACAGAATTCGAGTAGTAATTTTCCTTTTGTTTATTTTTTCCTCCCCATAAGGTCCGATGATGTTGTTCCATTTTTCTGCTTCTTTCCCCACTCTACTGTTCATGTATCCTGCGATCACAATTTTCTCTGTACAATTAAGTATCACTTCTGTAATTTGTCCCAGAATTCATTCTTTTCGTTTTTGTTGCGTCTTCATCTGATCAATAGCATATGAATGAGGTACTTTTAGTATACGTTCGTTGTAATATATCCAATTTTTTTACTTTGTTGATACTGTCCTTCTTTATCATGCACGCTAACTCCTGCCTGAGCTCTCTTCGTTTCTTCCACTCCACTGTAATTAGTAACGTTTTTCTAATATCATTGATCCTCTTCCTTTTTCTTTGTCTCTGTTATAGCTACTATTTCAATGTTCTTATCTCTAATTTCTTCCCGCGATTCCATTCCTTCCCATTAATACCGCTTACATTCCATGATAGCCATTTTCAAAATTGTTTTGTTCTTTTATCTGTTAAGTTGTTTTCCTTCCGTTTGTGTTATTATCTTTAAATCTGCTCATGTCTCTGTTCTGTGCCTGTTTCTTCTCGGTCCGTCCATTGTGTTTTTTCACTAGTTTTTTTTTAACAAGTTGGTATTTGTATTGTATGTTACTTTTTCTATCCGGCTTATTTTTGATTCCATTTCCACTTAACGCCTTCAATAACTATGAAACCATATCCAATTTCTGTCCTTTTCCCATTAGTCTTTTCATCTGCGCTATCTTCATAAGGTTCTTTATATTTCTAACTCTTTTAATGTTAGGTCACATTCTATATATACTCTATTGCTTATAGTTTAATTAGTTTACCCTTGGCTTTCAGTATTTTCATTTTATCTTCGAATTTTTTACATTAGATAACACACATCGTTTCATTTATCTTTTGTACCCTATTTATTTCTGATTTTACTCTCATTTTTGTTCTATGAAGTTCTCTAGTTGCTCTCCGCTTCTATTGTGTCTATTGGTAACCCTCTCATTATTAGGTTATTTTTCTTTCTTTTCTTCTTTCTGACATGCTTCCGAGCATATTTCTATTTTATCTATTTTTTTGTTTCATCGGAGCCATTTCTTTCTTTAGATTTTCATTTTCTCTTATTATTTATTTCATTTGAAATTTGTATTCCACTATTTTCCTTTCTAATTTCTTTTAGTTCCTCAATCATATTACCCATTGTATTTTTTATATCTTCCAGGTCCTTGTTTTTCTTTTTATTATCGCTTGCTAATTATCTCATTAGTTCCATCATTTCGTTCTGGCTGCTGGTTTCATTCGTTAATGGATGTCGACCTGTCTGGTGTTCCGTTCACTTTTCTGCTCCTGCTAAATATGTCATACTCCTCTTTGCTTTTCTTTTACCACCTTCATCAACATTACCATCCGCCATCTTTCTTCTTATTCTAATAATTAAAGTATTTTATAAATATAAATATTTGTAACGGTTAATGATCGCGACAAGCGCCGCACCCACCCAACAGCTAAATCTTAGCAATTCTGTTAACAAATTATAAAAAACCATCATATGCACAAGTGTAATATATCGATCAGAAAACTAAGCTGAAGAAAAAAGATTCATTGACGTTTGAAAATCTAGTGTAACAAAATATTTAAAAGTAAATAAGTAATGAAAAAGTGTTGTTTTTTATTCTATTTATTTTTTCTTTTGCTACACAAGCGGTTCAAATTGTTTTTAACGTAAGATTATTAGTTAAGTCTTGTTTTTTATTTATTTACATTGAATATTAATTTGTTTTGTTGTACAATCCACTCTGCAATAATTATGTTAAATATTTGATTTAAAATGATTTTTGTAATTTGGCAACAATGTCAACTTAGATCTCTGACGTAGACAATGACGTGCATCGGGGTTTATACTGTTCCTACTGTATATATTATATAGTACAAAGAACAAAATATATCCTTACCTCATCTTGCAAAGATGCGAAATCTTCTAAAATATGAGCCAGTTTATCTCTTTGCCTTGCTCTGTTATGTCCACACAATTGCAGAAAGAGTGTAAATGGTCTTGTACAATGTGATAAAAATGTATCAACGTAATGTTTGGCCTGAAATTTAGAAAAAGTTATAGTTTATAATCAAATTAGTTATAATTGAGATGGGAGAACCCAGCACCAATGACAAAAGCAATTTTTTCTTTCGTAATTTTCTTCGCATAAAAACTTAAAATTGTTCATTAAAAACATTGTTAAATAAACTCTTCTTCACAATAAACAACTGGATTTACCAGAATTTATTTTCAAAAAACAAAAATTTGAAAATTCCAAATTATTCGATATTTTTGTCCAAGAGTGTATATTTTATCATTTATATAAATCATAATATTTTATCAGTCTAAAGATTTTATTGCTGACTAAAAATTATTACCTGTGAATTGTTTAACAGAGTTTTGGAGATCAGGGCTGGCGGTGAAATAAATGCTTTGACAGACTCTTTCAATATGTCTTTTAAATTTCCAGTTGAACCAGGGTACATCATTTGTAAAGCTGAGCGAGACAATATGCAAGGACTAGTTTTACTAAAGTCAATGAAAAAATCCTAAAAAAAATTATATTGGTGTAAAGTCACATAATTATACACTAGCGGGCAAAAAATTTAGGTCACATTTAAATTCTGTGTTTTGAGCCAGTAATTTGTGTACGGTTGTATGGTTTCTTAGCAGGCGCTGATATATTGCTTTCCGAGAAATGATAGATCATTTGTTGTTGTTATCTATCAGTTCAGTCACGTGTTGTCATGTATTTACGACGTTTACGACTTTTTTTTATAAAATATCTCCATTCACTCTAGTGGAACCTTTATAGTTAATTGCCAATTATTCAATGAAGGATTATTTGTTTTTGTGTAATGTGTAAAATCTATCGATGGTACAGCGGTAGTGTATATCTAATGATCGATAGTGTATATCTAATGAATCATAATGCATTTAGATCCTCTTACTGTAGCACGAATTGTTGGAAGGAGTCTATGAGCAGTTCAACATGTGTACCACTGCTATGAGCTCAGGATCTGGGCGAAATCGAATCACCACCCAAAGGCACGATAGCTTTGAGGTGTCCGCACGTTTGCGGAATAGAAGAGCCTTTGCGGTTTTCTAAGAAATTAACTTTAAGAGGTGAAAAATGTTAATGTTAGTGAATGGATCGTTAGAAGAAGGCTTTGAGCTGCTGGATTATCTTACAGAATGATGGCTATCATTACAACGCCGACATCGGATAACTAGATTAAATTTTGACCACACTCACCTACTGTAATGTATTGGCCATGTAATTATAAACGCCACTCGCGACGTTCATGTATTGCTAATTATCGCATTATATTTCAGTTAGGTTAAAGGTAAAACAATTAACAGTTGTGTTTGATATGTAGTCAAATAAAGATTTGCTTTGGGTTCATCCAAGTGTTTTTGTATCAAACATTTCACCTACATTGAAAGAATGTAAATTGGAGCAACCTACTGTTTTCAGATGAGTCGCGTTTTTGTCTCAATGGGTCAGATGGACACCGTCGAGTATGAAGAAAACCCAGAGAAAAATACGCTGCGGCTTGTATTGATGAGCGACTGCAATTTGGAGGTGGGTTGGTTTTGATCTGGGCGGGAATTACTTCACAAGCACGCACAGAGTAAGTCTTCATACAAAATAGCTCTCTTCCGGATCACAGATACTTGAGAGAAATTTTAGATGATCATGTTATACCTTTCATGACTTATTGGCGAAGTGGCATTTTCAATCAAGATAATGCTAGACCCCATATTGCCAGAGTTGTCAGAGAATATTTCGATAAAGTTTGAATTAGGCGGTTTGATTGGCCCCCACTACGTCCAAACATGAATCCTATCGAGCATGTCTGGGATACACCCGCTCCAAAAACTGGGATAATTTGATTGAAAGTATGGCATGTCTCCTAAAAGCTGTCATTAATATACGAGAGGGAAATATGCGCTATTAATGAAGATTTTTTTCCAATCTTTAGTTTTAATCATTTTTTTGTGAGTCTCTTAACAATAAGTCACACTTTTTGCCAACTAAGTACTGTCAACTTATTAATTCTGCTAAATGAAGCTCAAAACCCAATATAATATTGCTATTAATTCAATATTGATTATTAATGTTAGTTTACAAAATACAGTACCAACGGTTTACAACCGCAAACAGAAGTTTGCAGCTAAAAATGTCAACGAGACATCACAATTTCAATGTGACCTAAAATTTTTGTACATGTTTATAACTGTTACAATGTTAATTAATAAATACTTGTAATGAAATCGATATCAGAAATACTTACCATAGCATGATGCAGTGATGTAATTGTTGTGATTTTAGTGACAATTTTGAATCTTTCAGCCACATCAATGAAGTATCCAATGGCCCCATACCGTGATTTAATTTTGGTATATCTTGGAAATGTGGGAGGTAACAGTCTTTGGTTAATTGAAGGTTCAAAACCTAATATATATTCAGAATCAGCTACAAAAAAACAGATTTTAAAATATCTAAATCATAGGAGCAGATTAATATTACAATTTTGAAAAACTATCAAAGTAACTACTACTTTATTCTTTGACATTCCTTTACATAATATAAAACATATACCTACTCAAGATTTAAAGAGCTAGATGTGCAATAATAAAAATAAAAATATATGTACAAAGAATAAACAAATAAAATAATTTAAAAAACAGGAAGAGAAATAGAAAACTCATGAGAAGAAATAAACAGATATGAAAAAAGATAAAAATAATTCTAAACAGAAGAGAAATAGAAGACCTGCAGTGATACTATAAAATATGACTAAGATCTCATAAACATAAGTCTCTATAAACAATAAAATCAAGTATCACATAAAATTTAACAATGTACTATATAAAAAATCTTTATATGATACTACTTACAATCCTTACTTATTATACCCATATGCATAGTCTTTTGCATAATATGTAGCATGTCCAAACAATTAGTTAAAAGTCTATTGCATTCGGAAATCACAGGTTGTTCATCTTTTTTAAACATAGAAATCAGTACTTGTAAAAATAGTCTCAAAAATTTAATTCTTGCAAATAAAGCATGAGTTTCTGGATCAGGATTACTCCTATTTTTTCTATATAGATCCTCTTCAACTTCACGTAGCATTCCAATCATACGTTGTTGGGAAATGTCTGGGTTTAGGTGGTAACCATATTGCATTGGTTGAAAATCTTCTTCCTCATATACCATACCACTAAAATCAGTCGAATAATTATCAAATGCTACTAGCCCAGTCTGGTTATGCAAAAATCATCGATTTCACGGCAAAATGTTTCGCAGATATCTGAAGCTTGTAAGACATAGGCGGGGGTTACTAGATGACGAATAAATGAAAAGATACTCCTCTTTTTACCTTGCGTTTTTTTTTAAACAATAATTTATGGTCACAATTTGATTTTTTGTCTATAAGTTTTTTCCCTTACATTTTAAATGAACAATATTTATATCATTTTTTTATTTCAAGAATATCTTCATTTTTCCGTTTATTGAATTAAAATTGATAAATAATTTCCGGAGATATTTGCAAAAAAGCAATTTTTTGAAATATTCTGATTTTTCGTTAATAATTCGTTGTTCAAGAATATAATGATTTTAGACAATAAATGTGGGTGTGTAAAAAAGTGGTACTTCGCCCTATGGAATTGGTAGCTGCAGGCGGAGACATCTAGTTCGATAGACAGCAATATCAAAAGAAAGTAAGGGCGAGATAGTGAGTGCTCCCCCATAACTCACTTGTTCGGCTGCTGAAACCAGTCTGGTCTGGTGACAGCAAATAATTATAGAATTGTTTTTATATTTGAGGCAACTAGTGGGTGTATAATTACCCAATCAACTTTAAGGAAAGACTAATTTTTCTATGGTTCATTGTTCACAACAATGTATCAATCAACAGTTTATTCTTTGCAACATTGTATCAACAACAGTTTATTGTTTGATAGTGTCTAAGTTTTGGTGAGCTAAATCTTGAAATCCCCGAACTATATAGGAGAAACAAAAGTAGCAAAAAGTCTGTTGAAATTTCAACAATATTTCTATAAAATTGTAAAAATGCAATAAATATTGTAAGTCCATTAATAATGAATTATTATTATTATTAGTCACTTACTTATGAACAAGATCCTTGATCTCTTCTAATAATTTGTAAATTGCTAAACAAAATACTCTGAGAGGTCTGTCTTCAATCATGTAGGGTTTGTGCAAATATAGATTAATAAATAGCGTTTGTGCTAGAGAATGACCTTCTAACCAAGAAACCAAACATGCAAAGGTGCTATCTATGATTCCAATCAATTCTGCATTACTGAATCCATCCAATTTTAGTATCTTGTCCTAAAAATAATATAGTTGTGCTCAAACACATTTTTAAGTTTAAAAGCAATAAAACAATAAGGTGTGTACACATAATTTTTGTATGATTATGGGCTTCTAAATTTTTTTAAATATCCACATAACTTGTGCTACTTTCTGCTGATGACATCCAAAACAAGGGCCACTTAACAGTAACAATGACACCCTTCAACGAAAGTCATTACCTAAACAGGTTCAACAGGTGAACTGCTTCAACTTTACAATTTTTCAGATATTGCAAAAGACTGGTTACTGTTACTTTTGGCATGAGGCTATTGCTAACCGCGGCTCAAATGAAATAGCTACGTGTCTATTTGATTATCTTTCAAATCATTGTAATGATAAAGACGTTATATTTTATAGCGATAATTGTGTTGGGCAAAATAAAAATAAATTGATAGTTACCATGTATCTCTATGCAATTGGAAAAATTAATGTTAAATCAATCACACATAAATTTTTAACAGTGGGACGCCATGCATGCAACTATTGAGAGGCAAAAGAAGAAAATACTTAAAACAGGTCCCATTTATGTTCCTGCACAGTGTCCTGTCATCATATGATCTGCAAAAAAAGGGAAATCCTTACAGTGTAAAATAAATGTCAACAGAAGACTTTTATGACTTTAAAGATCTCAATTCAAAAATTGGAGGAAATTTTACAAAGAATACAAAAGATGAAAAGGTAGTCTGGAATGATATCCAAGTTATTAAAGTTGTCAAAAGCAATCCTGGATCTTTCTTCTATAAAACAGATTATAATGCCAATGAGTTTGAAGAGGTCCATTTTAAAGCATAGGCAAGGGGGCGTTCAGCAACCGTGGAAGCAGTAATCGATTTAAAAAAGGAGTACATAAAGCCTCCATCGATATCCACAAAAACCTTTTGGAACTGTGCAATAAAAACTTTATATTACCTGTTCATCACAATTTTTATAAGGACTTGGTTAATAGTAATTAAAAAAAAATGTTCATACACACTTGTAATAATAATAATAAAAATATTTTTTGTAAGAACTAGTTGATTTTTTTTATTATGTTGCTGCCGTATCTCCTATTTATCGTTTTATAAATGACTTTCTTCACAATGCAATATCGCCATAACTATCAAAATTCAATTAACGTTTTATTTTTAATAAATTGTAATAAGATCCAGTAAACTGTATAATTTGCTAACTAAATTGTAATTTTGAAGCCAGTCATTCTAAAAATAAATTATTTACAAGGCATAACTCCTTTGCTACAGAATGTTTTGTTCATTTCTCGAAATTATTGTATTTTGGACTTGTGGCACTATTGAACTAGGTGTGCTATATGTACTCTTATTAAAATTTAAATCCAATATATTTACTCCACAAAAAACAAATGTATATGTGGCAACATTTTATATCTGTTATACATTTTTCCATTTTACAATATTGTATATTTTTTTTATAATTTAAGAGGAAAATGGTCGATATTTACAATTGATTTATGCGTTTTAAAGAACTAAGTAAGGCTCTTTCGTATTTTCATAACATTTTCCTCTTCCTAATTTTTAATTTACTATTAAATTTTTTTAATAATAAAAACATACAAATTTTGCATTTTTTCCATTTTTGAAGTTAAAAAAAATCGCATTTATAGACCCTTACTATGTAAACAAATACCAAATCCAGTATAAAACTTATCATTTTAGTACAGTTAAACAACTTTTATTACTGTTTTTATTTAGCAACAAAACGGCAGTCCAGGAGTATAGTATTTTACACTAGATAAGAAATGGTACTTACTTGTACAGCTTGATCAAATGATATAATTTTTCTTGATCCTCTGTTGCACAACATCCCAGCATCCATTTTTGGATCCATCATTTCAATTGCAGACATGGCTTCGAAAAGGCCAAATAAGTCATCATGGAGCAATTCTCCCAATTTCAAATCTAAAAAACATTAAAAAGTGTTAATATAGAATTCATTTCCACACTTAAAGACTGTAAGGTTTGATGGAAAACTAGAAGCAATAATAGAGTCTAATTTTGCTTTTCCTTTATGGTATTGTTTTATAAATTGATAATTGAAAAAATTATTGTTGAGTGAATGAAATGAATGTCTCTCACATTTAGCAGCAAATCTATTGTTAAACAAAGATCAATCAGAAGTCAACAAAACTGGAAATAAAGATTAAAATCATAATTGAAAGTAGGTATGGCGTTTCTGGCACTGACAAGAGTCAGGAATTCTAGACAATTGGGAAAATTAATTTAACAAATCAGGTATTAACGAAGGCTAAAAACGGTATAATAAAACATAAAATCCTACCTTTAACTGCCTCTTGAAATTTTGATGTAATATTTTCTGATACTTTTCGAGGACATGATTGAAAAGACTTGGCACTGCAAGCATAAGACACAAAGTTTGTACTTTTTTTTGCACTTAATCCTACTTACCATTCTTTTTCCATCTTCAATTTTAAAATATAACAGTTTTATTACTTTTATGGTTTTATTAGTCCATAACCTAACTTTACTAAAACTCTTCTTCTTATTTTATTTGGCTTGTCTACTAAATTCTGGTTAGGGCGATTTCAGCTAAAAAATAAGAAGAAAATAGAGAAAACCCAAACCAAGTTAGAGTATGATAAATACCTACTATAAATTAGGAAAATAAAACAACTTTTATAGAGACACACACTCTTTAAAAAACAAAAAAAAACAAGAAAAGTCCAAACGGGACAATAAAGAAATAATTAGATTACATGTTATGCAATGAAAAGAACATAGTATTAATACTATTAAGATCGACAGAAAAGATCCGCTGAGCTTTCTAGTTTAAAACAAGCCCTTATCCAAAACGGTTACCGAGAAAATCACATTAATAGGAGCATCCACAGACTTCAATCTCCCACTCAATCTATACCCAACGACTCAAACCCTCATCATACGAAAGTTTTTCTTCCTTACATCAAAGGGGTCACTGACAAAATCGACAAAATTCTAAAATCAAGAGAAATAAAGACAATATTTACCCCCCAACAAAAACTTTCATCTCTTGTCCGATCAATCCAAGACCACATTCCAAATGAACAACACAGAGTTTATCAAATTCCTTGTGCAGACTGCCACCGATTCTATATAGGCGAAACAAATTGTAGAATCCAAAATAGGATTTATGAACATTCCATTTCTGTTCGCAATTCCCACTAAGTTTCAGCTCTAGGTTAACACCATCTTCATACAGATCACAAAATTGATTTTGAAAACTCCAGAACCATAGCCTCCATAAACCAAGAATTATCCGAGAAGTCATAGAAAGTGAAAAAAGGTCAAATTGTTTCAATACAAGAAATGACGGCATACGGTTACCTTCGACTTGGAGACCTTTCATAAAGAAAATACCGTCCGCTCCAGACGTCAATCAAAATCCTACTGTCAGAAATGTTTGCGCCAACCCTCGTGCCAATCCGCACGCTGGCCTCCACCCAAGCCACGTCACTATCGACGGTATAAATGACCTTATAAAAGACTTCCTCTATTCTAATGATTTTGGAACTAATAACATTGAATCATCTCGTATATAATTTTGTCTTATTTACTTAATATTATATACTATTCGATATTCCAATATGATGACATAATTTTCACCTCCGTAAATGTCGGAAAATTAACATATATTTTTTTCATTGTATATCGATGTAATAATACTTATATATTTTATAAATTAAGTTTCAGGTAATTTTTTATACATTATATTCCTTATTAATTATCATTTTTTGTATTTTTATAATTACCAATATTGATTTTCATTGTATTTTTCGTAAAAATATGATATACAATATTAATCTAATCTGTATTACTGCTTTGATAAAATAAGTCGATTTTTTCGAAACTTGTCTTATTAAATTTTGCAATGTTTATTGAACTTTACTTGATTTATTTTCTTTACATATATTGGTTTAAAAGTTAAAATTTGGTTCATTCATTCGACTTCACTGTCAGCTCTGAACCTTTTTGTTGCAGGTTATTTGTCTTCATTTATTAAGTCAGTCTATAAATATACATCTTCAGAATCACTGTCGTCGTCAAACGTAACTGTACTGAGGTTGCAGCATATTTTCTCCTCTACTTCTTCCTCAGTACAATTTATACACAAGTTCGTACAATTCAAACCTGCAATTCTGCACCCAAATGTAGTAGTTTTGCAACCTGTGGTGCATTTGTATGTAATGTGCTTTAATGTCTATTCGGGAATTATGCCACAGTCTGCTGTTTATTATGAAATAATCTATAATAAATAATATTTTTCACCGATTATACAAGTTGAAAATAATTATTTCGTAAAATAGTTTTTCGAAACCAATTCAGGTTTCTGCTTTAATCTGAACCTTCTAAAAATTCCAAGGTAAACAGACGTTGATAAAGATGTTTGGGGAATCTAAAATTTGCATTCTACGACATGTCTCAATCAACTAAGCAGAAATCCTTAGCGAATTGGTTTCTTGTACTCATACAGAGTAGATCCGAATAAAATGAAAAAGACAGTAAAGATTAGATTTCACGTACAAAGCGTTCATGTATCTGTATATATATTTCGGCCTAATAGGCCTCACCAGAACAGCTATTCATAGGCGTTCTCAACGTGAAAAATAAATCTTTCGTCTTTGAGAAGTAACATTAAAATGGCTTCGATATGGACGCAATAGCGACATCTGATAATAAATCCGTAAAATAGATTTTCGAAGCCAATTCAGATTTCTGCTTTAATCTGAACCTTATATTACGCAGCCATGCCATTTGTATTAAATTTTCGTAAGACTTTAAAACTTCATTTTCTAACATTGTATGTAGTCCATGGAATTTCTAGAATGGAGCGAAGTATCCACGTCTCAAAGTTTTCCAGGCGTCGTGACGAGCTAATTGTCAACTTCCTGGCTTCCATGCCATGTAGTCGTATACGTATACAGCATTTTATCATGCGATATCCTACTTAGATCAAGATCTCGGTCGGTGAAAAGTTATTTCATTTTTAGAAATACGTTAAACTTTTCAGTTTGTTCAATTAGTTTGTCATTTACTAATATTTATGTTTCGAGTATTATCTGTTTGGGGCTTATTCGCCTACATTCAGATCTCAACAAGAGTCTTATCTTCTCCAAACAGAAACTTATTTTAGAAAAATTTCAATAAACAAAAAAATTCTTTAAAGTTCTTGTCTTACAATTTCATTTTGATCGATTTCTTATAGGTACGTCACACTTTAGGGAAAATAATACAATTTGTTATTTTAAGGCCCGTTTTCACATTACCTCTTATTGTACGTTTTGTTGGTCATATAAAACGTACGACAAAACGTATGTCTTGTCCAGTGTATACATACTACGTTTTTCCTTCCGTTTTCAACCTCATTTCTAGTCTTGAGTTGTGTGAAGTTTGTTTATTGTTTTTTTTATTATGGAGGAAATACGGCTGCTTTCTTTTATTTTTTCAACTATAACGATACTACGACTGCGGAAAAGGGGGATGAAGAGGGAAAAGACCAGATGGTCAAGAGAATGGCTTCTCAAAAGACGCCAGTATTCCCACGTCTTGTTACTAAAAGAACTGAGAGGCGAACCGATTTGGATTCATTTATTATTGTATTATTAGCTTTTATGACATCATGTACTTTGTAAAGTACCGCTTAGGTATCATTGGTTCTCACACGTTTTCATGAATACACACAAATGCTCAATGCAAATTACAGGTATCGCAAGAAAAATTATTTTGTCTCTTACATATTTCTTCTCAAATTTAAGAATAAGTAAAAATTTCTATCTGAATGTAAAATTCGGTGGAATTTTATCCTATCAGTTCTCGCAAAAGTATGCTTCTCTCATCATTTCTACGATCTGACCTTGGATTTCATTTCGATTCGACAAGACGAACGTTTTGCTGTTTACACGCCACGTTTTATTGCATAGGATTTGTCCTATCCAACAAAACGTACAATAAGAAGTAGCGTGAAAACGGGCCTTTACACATTTATTAGGAAATCACAATTTAATGTCTAAAAATAGATGTGTGTTACAAAGAAATTTCTAATTAAATTATCCAATTTCTGGTCGAGGCTGGACGTATCTGGTATTGCTGACTACTTCATCATCTGTAAAAAAAAAAGAAATTAATTTTCTATTTTGTAATGAATGCTGTTACTGCTAATGGTGTTAATACCGCTTAACCGATTGACAGAATAGACAGCGTGACACAGGTAAGACAAAAGGGAGATAGTGTAAATATTTGAATAAGGTATAGGAATATAGTGAGCGAAATTAGTTTATCTTGCTTCCAAATCAACTGAATTTCTATTTGTTATTATTTTCAAGGTTCATTCAAAATCTTGATATTCCATCCTTATTTTATAAATACTGTGAAGTAGGCAACCATCACTTCACTTGGTTGTATTTGTAATTGCCTACATTGTTACTAATTAAAGGGATGACAATGAAAAATTGTAATTTAAATCAGATATAAAAGTAATAATAAAGAATAGACATTCATCATCGAGGCATAGCTTAATTGAAGGTAGATAAAAGTGATTTCTCCTCTTGTTTTTCGACTAAGAAATTTAAATTATATTAGTGCCTGCACAACACGCAAACTAGAAGAAATGTATACCACCTTGTCAAATGCCTGCAAAAAATATGGGTTCTGCAATTAAATGAGGAGAAGAAAAGATAATGCATAAACCACCAAATAGAGCCGAACAGAGCACCAATTCACGTGGTAACTCTACTTTGAATATGGTGGACAAAGCACTACTTAGGATCCCTGATCACAAGGAGAATGACATGACGGAAAAATCACAATATCCTGAACAAATCTATCTTGAGAGAGACTATGAGAGCCAAAAATCTCAATTAAGTATCACTTACCAGTTTGATTATGGCATGGACGTAAAAATAAACCGTCTAAGTAATAATTAGAGACAATGTGTCTGAATGTAAAGAATATGTTACTATGAAAGTCTATGAAATAAATGAGTAGCAAAACTCAATGAAGTGTAATGAGCATAGAATACGCAGCATGGCCATTCAAAAGAACGATGAAAACAATCACTCTTATATTTGACACTGTTGTAATGATACTAGATTTAAATTAATTGACACATATAAATCGTTTCGGATTGAAAGGAAATACAACTAACGCGAAGAATAATCCTAAAACAAAATGCTATCTTGATTGAGTAGACATATGAGAAGCCAAATAAAGACAAAAATAACCATATACAAAACTCTTATACAACCAGTTTGACATAAGGATCGAGACATGGACCATCTCCAAAGCAGATGAACAACCTCCCTAGAACAAATACTGTAAATAATTGGAGACATCATGGAATGGTTTTGCCCGCTACACAAAAAGGGTGATCAATTGGAATGTAGAAACTATAGGGGAATAACCCTCCTTAATACAGCGTACAAAATATTTTTCGAGTATTTTAAATAGTCGCTGAGTGCATATTCAGAGGAGCTTCTTGGCGAATATCAAAGTGGTTTTAGGCCT